TACTATTAACCATGGGGTGATTTTAGGATGATGATGTGCAGCTCCATAAATGCTGCAGATATAATTGAAATGATCGCCCAGCCCTTTAGAACACAATCCTGCTTCCATGGAACTCCCAATTCCTTCTTCCGCCTAATCCCTAGACAGCACTTTGCACAAAGTTTGCAAAATATGAAATCTGAGCCCTGTTAGCCATCTCTGATCAGTCCGGGCCCAACCTGCACAAAGCACCATCCCTAGATCTGCAACCTTAATGATTCAGGGAGGAAAAAAGAGGCTGAGTGCTTTTTCATGGACACCAATGAACCATCTCTCCGGCCTGAATTTACTTATATAATTTCCATGAATCATCCCCAACATTGTAGCTTTCAGCACTTCAAGCAGCACCCATCACCTGGACAGTCTGAATCATGTATTATATTCTCAACACAACAGACCAGCATCAGGACAGACAACATCACACGCTCTTTGTGAGTCTGGCATCAACCCCATTAATTAGAAAAATGACACCTCACAAAAGGCTGACAAAGCGAATGCCTTGGCATTACCTACATGTTTCTTAGTTGTACCCTTTTGAGCAATGCTTTCACAAAAATCATTAAAGTGAAACCCAGTGCTTTCCAGCAAGCATCTTCTATACAAAAGCCAAGCTGGAAAAAAAAAACCTTTTCTCAATGTGTATCTTTTCTGTGACAGTGTATTGCTGTTTACAGGCATGATTAATTGTTGCTTGTGGGAGTGGGGTATAGATCATACTCCTAGAAACAGTTGTATCATAATGCAACCTATCAGTTTTGGCTAGATGATTATGGCTGAGAGAGCAAACAAAGCTAATTTAGAGTGAAGGCTGTGCTTGCGAAATAGGTACAGCCCTCACTCAGAACGATCTTCATGTTCTGAAGTGTCTTCTCATACAGCCAAATCTGTTTGGCTTTCTGATAACATCGCTGTTACTAGGAAAAACAAGGGCTACTTCAAATTTTTAAATGGTATTAACTCTACAGCCAATAGCATCACATAATGCCAATGACTGCCAAGAATCAGGATAAAGGGTGGGCTATGGATTCAACTAAATCTTGAATCCCAAGCTGGACTCTCCCAAATCTTCGTCACAAATTCAGAGGGATTCAGAGGCCCAGACAATGCAGCTACAAAAACGGATTCCTTTCTTCCCAAACTCTCCACATAAGGAAAACATCAGGACGGTGAGAGAGAAAAGGAGAAGTGAGGGTGTAGCTTTCTGACTAGGATCTGTACCTTGCTAGGGCTCCCTGTTCACAGTGCTTTGGGGAGAGGAACTTGAAGGACTGGCCCAGTGCTCAGAGCTGTTGATTAGTTCTCTCTCCAAGGAGCAAGAGGCTACATGACCAGGGGGAGCAGCACATTGGGTGCTTGCTTGGAAAATGCCAAATGTTCAATTTGTCCGACTTTGCTGACCCCTGAGCCAGAAGCCAAGAAAACCTGAACTGTTTTTCACTCCTCTTCACTCCCTCACTTCTTCCCCCATGGCGCGGCATCTTTTCCCAGGCTGGGGGAAGATCACTTTTACAATGGGCACCAGAACTAAATTAGCACTAGCACCGGAAATTGGTAATGCTACCTGGAGGAGCTTGGTGGGGGAAATTGTGGATCAGCAAAGACCCATTATTTGGAACCTACTCTCTGACATCTGAAGCAGGGATAACCAGCAGTCTCTGGACCAGAGCAATCCTTTCCAAATTGAATCAAGCTGGAAAGGGAGAATGTTGCATTACTCTGGGATTTTAGATGGAAGATCCTGCTGTAAGTGAGATGTTCCTACTGCTAGTTGGTACCAAGTCATGCTGACTGGCCATCAGGTGCATGTCTGGTACATGTCATAACACTACTTGGTTGCTTTCCTCAAACACCATCCAGTATCATTTCAAAAACCTGGCCTTTTAGAGTTTAAAAGACATTTCAAACCATGTTCATGCCTCTCTAGGTCAAATCCCCTCATGTTTTCCTCCCAATACACAGCACTGGACCAAAACCTTAGTTTAAAGCTTTTTTGAAGTTTCCATCTGAACTAGTTAAGAAGTAGAGGTCAGACAGATTGAAGTGTGTAAGGTTTTAGGGACATGATGAAAGTAATTGTAGAATACATTTCCTCCTTAGACTGTTATTACTCAGACATTAAATCAGACCTGACCAAGCAACCTTTTCACATGAGCTGTTCCCATTTCCTTTTTGATTATGAGAAAATAATGTTCGACTTTTAATAACGCCCAAATGAATTGGAGCAATGCATCATTAGGATGGCACTGGTCTTTGTCCTGGCTTTCCCCCATCTTTTACTATTCTAGCATTGAATGGTAAAATTACTGCTTTAGAACTTATACAGACTTTTCCCCTCTTCCCTAATGGATGAACTTTTGGAATGCGCTCCCCAGAGGTCCACCTGGTGCCGTCGTTGTTTTTCGGCACCAGGCGAAGACCTTTTTATTCAAATGTTATTTTAATTGTTAATATTATTTATTCATTTTATTCTTTGGCCAGGGCGACTTAATTTATATTGTTAATTTATATTGTTCTATTGAAGTTTATTTATGGTTGTGAGCCACCCTGAGGCTTCGGCGAATGGGGCGGCATAGAAGTCTCCTAAATAAATAAATAAATATGTTGCAACAGCTGAAAATGTTTGATTTCTCAACAGAATAGGTCTGTCCCCCATAAACAAGAACTTGATTTTGCAACATCTGGTCCTTCCAAATACGGAACAACCTGATTTCAATGGACTTAGACACACCCAGCTGTAGAGCATCAAACTTCTTGACAAGCAAATTGAAATGCCAATTTGTTAGCAAGATGGCATCTCTTTCATCCGTCATTTAAAATTTTAGAAAATCCATTTGCAAGAAGCAGCTGCTCTTTTTAAAAAATTAACAACGAACATTTAAAGATGTCAGGAGAGAGGATTTTTATCAGGGATGCAACAGGGAGCACAGTGACACAACGGAGATGTTGCTGGGAGAATAGTAGGGATGGAAGGAAAGGGAGATCACATTCGAGGGCATGAATAAAAACTTTCTGAAGACGGACCCATTGCTAATAGATTTATTACCAACAATAAGTAATAAATTTCAGTAGGGTGCGTATCTCTTAGCTGTTGCTGGAGTGGCCGAGATATTGAGGGGCAGTGTGTAGTCCAGTTGCAAAGTGCACATTACAAATAGTGAATTATACAGACTGGAACGTGCATTTCCCAGATCGTCTTCCTCCCTCACAAAGCTAGAGACTGATGCCCAGAAATATCTTGGCCTTCAACCCCCATTTGCCTCAGCGAGCGTGAGCCATGGTCAAGGAAGCTGGGAGTGGTAGTCCAAAGCACCTGGAAGGCACCAGGTCGGGAGACAGCTAGCATGGACACTTGGACCTAATAGAACTCATCTTCTTGATCTTGTTCTTGCATCTGCAACTCTGAGCACCCCTCACCATTTGTTACACTAGTTGGGACTAAGGGAAGTTGTTCTCAGAGGGACACAATTCACCCGCCCCATGGTCAGAAAGACTTCAGATCCAGCCTCCGGTCCTAAGAGTCTTTGGTACCAAAGCTGAGTTGAGACAGAAGGGAGCCTAGTGGGAAACCTAAGCATGTATACAGGTCATTGCCCCCACACACCGCCCCAAAATTCAGCTTTCACACACCAGTTTTCTTTTTAACGTAATGCCTTGCTGGATAAGAAGCCAGTTTCGTTTTGCCTTAGTTGATTTTATTTCCATCCGTAATGAAAGCCAAGTGAAAACTTCATCAAATTTCCTTATAGCTCGTAACACCCATTTACGAGCATCACATTTTATCTATGCCCAGAAGTAGCGAAAGTAGTCAGTGGAGGATCTTTGGTAATTATTTCCAGAATATATATCCCCAGTAGACATTCTGTCTCCCTTTTTTTAAGCTGCAGCAACTCATTAGCAGTTCAAAACCGTGGAAAAATCTGAGCATCATATAAGAGCAAGAGAAATATTAGAACAGCTTTTAATAGAGATGAAAATACACCGCTGCAGGCAGCTATAGTCTGTATTCAAAGAAATATCTGTAGATATATCTAGTGACATTCGTGGCCTTTGAAAAGTTGAACTTCTTTTCCATCTTCCATGTTACATCACAAATTGCCAAGTTACCAGCTGCTTACTCTCCCTCAGTCCATCTTCTTCCCTCCATGACCCTCCCAAACGTCCCACAAACCCTTTCCTGAAGCCACTGTCGTGTCCTCATAGAATCAGCCAACCTGTTTTTCCTAAGTCGGCTGTGGGGAGCAAGGGTGCTCCATGGAGGGCGTTCCAGCTCTGACAACGGAGTGTTCTCTGACATTGGAGCTGGCATTCCAAAAAATGAAAAATTAAAGCATCTTACAGCTCTCTGGGGCAGCACAGAATCACTCTGTTAGATACTGAAAGAATTCAGTTTTAAAACACCTGAGATAAACAACATCCTCCCCCAGCAACACACACACACAATTTCAATAGCTTGATTTTTAAACATTTCCATCTGGAAATTTAACAGGCACCCCTCCCACTTGTATAAAGTTGGCAGGGCTTGGGCTTGAGGTACAGTAACATCAGAGAACAGTAAGAGGGTACACTGGGTCATAAAATGTGCCCCAGGCATGGCTACTCCAAAACCCACGGAAGTGTCTAATGGTTTGCACCCCTTCAAGTTCTCACATGAAGCAGCTGGTGACTATCACCAACACCAGACCTTAAGTGGTACGTGGCTCGGCAAAATTCAACCACTTGTTTGCACCTCAATGAGCGCCGCCCGATGCACTGGATGAGCAAATACAGTTGCAGACTGAATCAGCTTCTACATCAAGTACAATCGCTCATTAAAAATGAAGCTTAAAAACTCAAAGCAGAAGACAACTAAAAGCTTTCCATTAAAATATATGCATTCTTGGAGTTTCTAGGTAGTCTAAGTAAATAACCTTTAACAGTCTGCTTAGAGGGATTTGAGAAAAATAAGAAAAAAGGTACCACGATTCAGGGTTTCAAATCATCATGTTTAGTGGTGGGTTTATTCATTTACTATAATGTACAATCACGTCTGAACAAAGAAGCCACTGAAATGAAAGCGCGTGGCTTTAAAGCTGGGTTTGTAGGCTGACGTCAGTTGTATTCAGGCAAATAAAAGTGAGTGGGTGAAAAATAAAAAGCACAGAGGAAGGCTGTGCTGATATTTCTGATGGATTGTCCTCCTCCTCTTCCTCTCACAGCATTTTCCTCTTCTCAAACTCCTTGGGGAACAAAAAGGGAGAGAAAAAGTCTGAACGCAGCGGTGGTGAGTACGTGCTGGTCATTTCTGCTGCCTCGTCTTGGCCATCTCTTCCCCGTCCAAGACCCCCTCCCTGCCCTGGCTTCCCGGGTAACATCGGCTGATTTGCCCCCGGGGCCACAAGGGGCTTGTTTGGCCAGGATGGCAGTTGGAGGCCATTGGTAAAATGCGGGGATGCCACCGAGAAGCCAGATGCCGTGGCTGCAGGGGGTCTGACTGACACTCTAGGCTCCGGAGGAGATGCTGAGAGCCCCCAGCAACTTTTGGCAAACTCAGCCACTTCATCTACGACCCATCCAGGAGCGAACTTCTGTTACCTTTTTACCTCCACCAGAAGGTAACAGAGTGTGGAAAGGCAGAGGTCATCTGAAAGAGAAGCTGAAGCAGCCCTTCCCAACCTGGCGCCAGGTTGGATTGCAATGCCAACCTGCCCCTTATACATCAGGCAGGGGAAGAGTTAATTACAGAACTGAGGGGGGAGAAGTTTCTGAATTGCACTCAAAAGCAAAGTGTGGGCGAGTTATTTCGCTTTGCCCTCGGCATCTATGGGCAACTGCATTTTACTCACGCAACAACCTTGCAAAGGCAAGTCAAGCTGAGTGCAACCCGAATCACACTAGCTAGGACACTTCCTGACTAGTACAGGATTTGAATCCGGGACTGGCCCCAGTCCTACAAACATGAAGACACGTTTCATGTCAGGTTGCCTTGAAAAAAAACTATTTGTAGGAATAAAGCGGAAAATCCTTTGGGGCACCCAAGGGCCTGGCTATAACCTGACAATCTTCCTGCTATTTGAACGCTTCCCTGGCAAGCAGGTGCTCTCCTTGAAGGCCCAACAGCTGCTCAACCAACCTTGTACATCGTAGAGCCCAGCTGAGCAGGAGACATGCTGACGGTGGCGCCTGCGCTCTGGAGGGCAGCGATCTTCTCTTTCGCGCCGCCCTTTCCACCAGCAATGATCGCCCCGGCGTGACCCATCCTCCTGCCCGGCGGAGCCGTGATTCCAGCTATAAACGAGACGACCGGCTTTGCGTCTGGACCCTGTGACGGAGAACGACACATTTCGTACAGGGTAGTCGGGGGAATGAAATGGCAGAAAGGCTACCACCTCGGTTAGTTGTAATGAATGGCCTTTTGGGCAAGAAAGTAGACATCTGACCCTGAGGAAGCTGCGGCAGAAGTTGGCCAGAGGATTCCAGGTAGGCAAATGGACACAGGTGAATGCAGGTAAGACAAACTCCTGTGCGGAGCACATGCGGATCGTCAAATCCAAGGAATGCTCGAGCCGTTTCAGTTATAGAAGTCAGCTCCAACAGGAGACATCTCAAGAAAAAGTTTTCATGATTTTTTTAAAAGGATCACATTTCAGGCTTGAAGCTTTTTGCTAGCTGTTGCATAGGCTACAACAAAAATACGAAGGTAAGCAAAGTGAGGAGCCATCGACGCTTTTGAGCAGACAAGGTTGTGGGAGAGGCATTCCGCAGGACAGTTAACAAAGGCTAACACACGAAATCAAGCAAAGCGAGGGTCACTGGAACTCTGCACCATTTGCCTCACAGGAAGGACACTATGGCAAGGGGAGAGCCACCTGGACCCACACACCAGCCAAAGAGAGCACAGCTGCTGGAAGTACGTGTCTCCACGTCAGAAGCGCTATATGTGTAATAGGTGCCTGAGTTCTGCTTTGTTTCCTCCTCCCTCCCAAAGACTTCCCCTTTCATGCTGTGCCTTTTAGATTGTACACTAGAGTGCATATACTTTCTCATTCTTAACTCTGCAAGCCTTTTATGACCAAAGAGCAAAGTTAAAGGAATAATGAAAATCAATCAACCAGAGGCCAGTTCTGGCAATGTTGTGCAGCCATGACAAAATTCTCAGGGCTGGCCCGAAGGTTCAAAACCCTTCTCCATATAGCACACCCAAAATTTCCATGGCATGGGAATTACTTTCCAATACAGTAGAAATAACTTTGGCCACCTAAATGAGAAGGGACAACTCACTGGAGAAGACCTGGATGCTGGGAACAATTGACAGCAAAGGGAGAAGGGGACGAAAGAGGATGAGGTGGCTGGATGGAGTCACTGGAGCTGTGGTTGTGGGCTTGGGTGGACTCCAAGGGATGGGGGAGGATGGGAGAGCCTGGGGGAATGTTGTCCATGGGGCCGTGATGGGTTGGGTACAACTTCGCAACTAAACAACTGAACACAGGGTGGAACGTCTGGGTAAGACCCTGCTTTTTCCTTACATATAGGTGTTTTCAGGGATAACTGGGTTGTAGCACATGATGAGGATTCTCCACATCCTACATCAGCTGCCAGAAGAACCCATGTGACCTTGCACAGCAAGTGGGCGTGAACCCTATTTCAGCCTAAGAACTGAATTCGGCTCCAGAGAAATTCTCAAGGGTTGCATTCCCACAGTAGGTAAGGTCAAAGAGTGAAGGGGGCAGAGGGAAAATATCAAAATTAGCACCATGTTGTCACTTAGAGCTCTTGCTGTCAGCAACTTCACCGTTTCAGAGCCATTTTCACTCTTTCAACTGGGCGCAGGTGTCCCGGGGAATCATGCAAACGCCAGGAAGCCACCTATCTATCAACGGGTGGGAGAAAATGAGGCGTAGGCAAGGAACGGGGACACAGCCGTCTGGAACGTCAGGCTGGTCAGGTTCCCACAGCCCTGCTTTTAACACTAGGCTGAAATTGGTGGGCATTATCTTTTAGAGCAGCAAAGGAAAAGTATCCAAATGACACCGCAAGGATTAATTTAGGATGCGATCCTTGCGCAGGTAGCTGGGGCATACCGAGAGTCAGAGGGTTTTTTCCTGTCAAAACTTTCATAGGATTTGCACAGCTGATGTCAATGGAGTTATTTCCACTCTGTGCAAGACCAGCAAATACTTGGCAGCAAAGCTATCAACCAAGTAAAGCTTTCATTCTTCGGTTCAGCAGCAGGCAGGATGTACATCCAAACCTACTGGGAGATCTCAGGGTGATTTGTAAGAGATCAGCAAATGTTTCAATTATTTATTGCAAGAACAAAGAGAGGTCCCCCGCTGCCTAAAATCAGGTGCTGCAATGAAATCCAGGTTCTCTTGGGAGGAAGAAACCAGAAGTGATTTTGCGTGTGTAAAGGAATTTTATAGGCACAATATTCCTGTGCCTATAAAATTAACCTGGTAGGGGAGAACATCTGACCTGCCGGTCGCTGTTGGACTGCAATTTGTATTAGCCCATGTGAGCATAATCACAGGTGGGGGTTCGTAATGGCTGCAGTCAAGTAACATCTCTACCCCGGCCTTAATTTCTCCCCAACGCCTCTGTGCCCCTGGTTCCTGATGGTGGACCCTGAGGTTCGGGGTGGGGGGAAGATCAGGCAGAGCTTGCAAGTCTGAAGCCTGACTCCCACTGCTCTGAGACAGAAGCTTGGAAAAGGTTATAGATCGATTTTTCTGTTGGCATATGTTCACTCCACTGTGTTACAAACCATTTGGTCAGCGATGGCAAAGATTCCATCCTTATGCTTCAAGAAAAGGGTTGTGCAAACAGAAACACACCCTTAGATTTAGTGGGACTATCCAGAGAGGAAAACATTCTTTTAGCGTGTTTACTCTTACAGAATTGTGCTTCTTAAGGAAGTCAGCAGCATCTTCTTCTGCGTTTCCACCGATCTCGCCTATCAGTATAATCCCTTCAGTATTGGGATCCTTTAGGAAGACATCCAGGCAGTCGATGAAATTTGTTCCATTGAATGGGTCTCCTCCGATTCCTGAACAGGTTCAAAGGAAACCGCACGACAGGCAATCAATACCGTGCTTTCAGATGCCGATTCCAGAAGATGTGCGCTTACAAGGTTGCTACACTGAATCAGTTGTTTCTATTAAAGGACAACAGCCTTGCATTTGCTGGCAACCATTCCAACTAGTCACTAACTATTGGATGGTTCCAATATTTCTCAAGGAAATACTAACCTGTCTGGCTTCAGGAAAAACACGACTGAAACCTTGAGACATATCTAATTAAAAGATCATTACAACACTGTAAGGATCCATCACATCAGTGGGCCATTCTAAATGGTACCACTGGCAATTGGGTCTCCAAGAGAAGTTATTCTGAGACCTCTGAGAGATCTTAAGGATTAAACTTGGAGCCTTCTCCATGCAAAATTCTGGCACTCTGCCTGCCCACAGCTAAGCCACAACTTTTCACCCACATATTCCATCACTTTCAGCATTTCCAAAGATGAGCATTGCTCTGTCTGCACATTGCTTTTCATGGATCTTTCCATCACTTCCCAACATGCACCTTACGTGGGTTAGAAGACATCATGGCCGCATGGGAGTTGGAGAAGATTCCATACGATTACAAAGATGCAGCTCCTGAGCTGCACATGAAGTTAAAAGGAAGCAGGTTTTCCCTGTGTGTTCTATTCTCAGTGCAAGGCTTCTTTTTCAACAGCTTCTTTCAAAAAAAGAATGCTAATAAGACATTGGTCTAAGATACCATGGCTTTCTCCTGGCTAAATTCCAAGGGATGCCTAGGTTCGCTTTGACATCATCTGTCATCATTTTCTTGGGGACAGAGTCAGAGAATCTGTCTCCGAAGGATTCCTGCCTGCATATTAAAAATCTACTGTGTTGGCTTTGTTGACCAGAGCAGGACTGAGTATTCCAGAGGTTCATTTCCAGAATTCTGCAAGAAGGTTCTTGCTTCTTTTTCTTTTCAGTAAGCCACACAAAACTAAATTAAAAATGAACTTCCCCATGCAAGCCACCCAGCTGAAGCATGCAAGAAGAGCTCGATCGGATCAGACAGATTGGCTTTGACATCAACACCATGGAGCCAATGTCAAGGATGGGAAATACTTCCTACGCTCGCTCCAGCATCTTGTGGATAAAACAGCACTCAGAAGCAACACCGAGTGTGACCGCAGGCATGTCAGCCCCATAATTCGCCCCTGTTCTCATGTCTCAGTCACCAGAACTGTCTTTTGACTAGGCTACCCTCCTCACAGGCTATGCTTGGCTCAACCCCACTCACACGAATTTAAGGCAGAAGGACTGTGGGAATGAGTGTTACAAAGACATGTCTACTATCTTATGCATTATCTTACACATGGACTGAGCTGCTCTGAAACCCACCAACACAGAAGGATTGTCCCAGTCCAACTTGAGTTGTCTGATGAACAGCTTCATATGTCAGGGTGCCAGATCTTGATACAATTCCTGAAGGGCAAGGAGGAGGAGATAATGAAAGATGAAAAATATTGTAAGTGATAAACTAACCTTAACATACATTATTTATTATTATTTATTTAGAACATTTCTATGCCACCCCTTGCCGAAGCCTCGGGGCAGCTTACAACACAATAAAATACAATAAAATACAAAAATAACAATATAAAATTAAAATTAACAATATAAAATAAATAAAAAATATAAAATATAAAAGATTAACTCCTATGTCAAAAGGATTATAGTCAATTTACACCAGGGATGGGCTATGGGGGCACCTCAAGACACCTTTCCTGATGACCACCAAGGTGTCCAAGCCGGACATACAAACAAAGCATTTCCCATGGCGGCTGTTTTGTGTTAATGCCCAGGGCAGTTTCTCGACCAATGTTGACCATTGCCCCAAAAGTCACCTAACACTGATTTTCAAAAGAATTGCTACATTCAAAATAATTTTTACAACGAACCATGCATCATGCTACAATACATGGAAATTTCTGAACCACACGACAATGTACAAGGGGCCTAGCCTGCCTCAGGCTGAGTGGAACATTTGCACTGCTGGAGCTAGTTCTTTCCAAGTCAGTTGGAGGAAGTATCTTCAGAGAGGCCTTCTCCTGGGTTGGTGCCCACTGACCCAAGAACAAGGGACCTGCTGGAGAACGTCCTGACCACACAAGGGGAGACGGGAACTCTTGCAAACATTCAGTGGTCTGCTGTGTTTTCACTCACCCATTTCATGCCAATCATTAAGGAAGTATCTGCAGAATGCCACAGAATGTGTATGTTTACCAAGTTCAATATTCTTGGTGCATCTATTTTTTAAAATGTGGTTTATGACAGGTGCAGGACTGTTGAGACAATGGCAATTGACTTTGAACTTGACAGTTCCAGAGAATGGAACATGAATTTCGGAAGTCAGGTCCTGAATTGAAGTTTGTCCTTGCTGCAAGAAGAAAACAATGTACTCCTACTAAAGAATCCAAATTCAGTCATAGGGTGATTGAACCAAATGGCACAATCAAGCCATAATGTGGGCAGTCTCTCTCCTTTGAAGTGCATCTGAAGTTAGTAGCATCCATACTTGATCAGGTGCTTCAGAAACTGGATTTAATTAGGACATGCTCAGAAGATGCCTTTCCCTTTCCCCCTGCTCATGCTTCTGGGTAAGCATACAAGCACCTGACCCTAGCCAATATCATACCTCGACAGTTTTTGTATTACTGGCCACTGAGTTTGGCCCTGAAATCAGGTGAAATCTAACCTACATGTTTTATAGTTCCTCTGTTAGATCAGGCAGATGTGTCCTGTTCCATTCTTTTAAATTGCAAGACTCTTAAGCTAAATACACAACAGGACAACCACAACTGGAGTTTCAAAAGCAAATCAGAACAAAAAGCCAGCATGCACCAGAATAATCTTTCAGATCTTACCAATTCTTCCTTTTTTGTGAATGTGGCCAGGCATGATGCCAATTTTACATTCTCCAGGCTAAAAACGAAACCCAAAAAACAAACTTGGTCAGATTTTATTTAGATTTATTTCAAAGTCTATTGCAAGAGATGTTAGAAAGCCACCTTGCGAACCGGCAAGTTGCGCAGGGAACCCTTTCCATTGTGTCTATCTGCCCAGAATCACCTATGCACCTGTTTCACTGTGGGTGGGAAGCAAAGCATATCTTGAGCACACGCTCCATTCTCATGATCATCCCAACAGCTACTTCAGCCACATGTCTGCTAAACTGCGCAATGCATGGTGCTCCCAGAGCCTAGTTTGGACAAAATTATTCTGCAAATATGCCCAGTTCCATTCTCACAGTAACACTGCTGTGAAGGTTGGGCCAGCAGGTGATGACCTGGCATCCTGCAAGTTCCCTGGCTAAGTGGGGAGCACAACCTGAGCCTCTCTAGCACACCACGCACCTTCTACCACCTTTAAAGGGTGTGCGTGTGTGCTTGAACAGGTGGGGGCCTGAAGTCAGAGCACAACTGCTTATCAAGGTGATGCCAAAGGACAGGCAAGGATACTAACGTCAAGGTGTATTGGTCTTTAGGAAAGCTATCTGTTCTCTAGGAAAAAAGGCACCGATCCATTTCAACGTCATTTGAGCCCTTACGTTGATCACTCCCGGACAATTTGGGCCAACAAGCCGAGTCTTTTCCTGGCGAAGCAATCTGTGTTTGACACGCACCATGTCCTGCTGGGGAATACCTTCTGTAATGCACACTACAAGGGAGATTTCGGCATCAATGGCTTCGTTGATTGCGGCAGCAGCAAATGGCGGTGGCACGTATATCACGGAGGCGGAAGCACCCGTTTTTTCTTTGGCCTAAGGTTCAATTACATTAAAAAAAGGATCATCATTCTACTGCAGCACTCAGCACGGCACAAAAGCGCTCACCACCAGCAACGGATAATGCCCTTTCGCTGTCTGAATATCTGATACCACACTGAAGTAATTCTGTGTCTGAGCTATTTTTTCGTTTTTCCCGTTCATGTTTTGCATTTCCATACTGCCCAATAGCCCAAGCTCTTTGGGCACTTTGCAAAGCTTAAAACCTTTAAAATGCACTGCCAACGTGTTCTTGAGATCTGCTTTAGGAAATACCTTCTTAAGGTCGAGGGACCAGATTCGTGACCCGCAAACAGCTGATTGCTAAAGTAGGTCATCCCTAAATTGCTTCAGCTTATACGAGAACTTCAAGTAACAGACTTGCAGCAAGTTCGCTCTGATGCTGTTCTGAGTTTCAAAAGTCTGTATTTGTGGTGCAACGTGAGCGCCTGCCATTGATGCAACAACTTGACTCCCTTTGACTTGTGGAATGAGCTGAACAGTTGACTGGATCTGGCCGACAGAATCGCGCCACCTCAAGTTTCATGCCCCCTTTTGAAGTTGGCACTGAAAGGCGGGCTCAGGCCTGCACGTGAGAGTCTCTTCCATCAACACTGTGGTTTCCTGACCTGTGCACCATGCCACAACTGTGGGGGACACTATGTATATTGAGCTGAGCTGGAGATGTGCGGGTGGGAGAAGCCGGTCAATGCTGGCCTTGTGCTTCAGGGGCACACCCACAGGATGCTGGGGTGGGGGTATCTCCCCTTGAGCAATTAGGAGGGAAGCAAAGAACAAGAGTGCATGAATGGGAGCCCCTGTGTAGTAGTAACAGAGCGCACAACCCACTTGAACTTTTTCATCCAGATGTCGCTTAGATGTGACCTCCCAATTTGGGATCATCTAAGAAGACTTCCCACGTGCTTCCTTCCCGTGAAGCTTTGTGCGAAATTACTGATCTGAAATCGGTAAAATGTTATTATGTAATTATATGTTATGAGCATTCCATTTTGGAGGTTTGTTTCACAAGGTCCTTCATCCTTAGGGATGCCACACAGAAGGTACCCCTACCTGGTACGTTCCAGATAGACAAACATTTCCATCATTTCTGACTACTGGCCATACTGCCTGAAGCTAATAGGGGCAGAAGTTCAATTCTGAAGGCACCGGGTTGGGGAAGACTGACATAAAAGTATCAACACTGGAAACACTACAGCGAAAGAGGCACCATTTCCCATGAGGGAAACAAAAGTCTTAAAAACAGGAATAAGTCACTTTTGTACCTTAAGGTTTCTGAACTACAATTCCCCAAATCTCTCCTAAGCTGGCTAGGAATGATAGGTGAATTTACAGGTAAACTTAAATGAACTGCCCCTCCCCACTTTAAAACATTTACGTCAGCTTACTTCTCTCCTTCACCCAATTTTATGCACTGATAGCCCAGCTTTTGGGGTAACACTCTCACAAGGCAACTTACAGCAATTTCTAAGTACATTAAGGTATCAAAGAACAAAACACTAAAAAACCAACACCAAGTTAACCATTACAATAACAGCGATTAGAAATGAAGCCAGATAAAGCCAGTAAAAACCCCCTGTGGAATAAAGAGGTTTCGGAAATCTGTTCAAAAGCTGCTAAGAACAGAGCCAGAAACACTTCGCAGGGAAGTTCATACAGGTGTGACAGTCTTTCAAAAGCCAGTGCCAAACAGCTCAGGGCTTTAAAAGTCAAAGGCAGCACTTCAGACAGAATGGGAAGGAACAGTTAATCAATGCAATGTGAAAGCCTTATCAGAGGCATGCCCCTTACATATGGACTTTAATATTCAGTATTTACCTCCTTTACAGAGTTAAAGACTGGAAGCCCCAGGTGCGTTTTGCCCCCTTTGCCTGGCGAAATTCCTCCTACTAGATTGGTTCCATATTCCAATGCCTGTTGACTATGAAAGGTACCCTGCAAGAGATACAGATGTGACAAACATGATTTAATTTAGTGGAAAAACTATACTGAACAAGCCTTCACCTGCACAGACCCCACTGAAATGAATCCAGATCGCTCCGATTCTAAAATCTGGCATATGAAAAAAGCCAAACAAAGAACTTTACTTCAGAAGGTGCTAAATTTCTAAATGCAGGAGAAAAACAAATATTCCAAACCTGCACGTTCTCCCCACCCCCAAAAAGGAATATCCTGTAAATATCCTAATACAGGTGATTAATTAAAAAAGGGGGGGGGCAGAATGATTCTTGGACTGAATTGAGTGATTCTCTGCAAGTGGTCAATTCCATCCAGTCAAGGGCAATGGGGAAAAACTAGAGGCGATCTGAAACCAGGGTTAGGTTACAGCAGCCTTCCCCAATCACAGATTAACAGATGTCCCACTGCCCCTCGGACCAAGGCACAATGATACACACTCCAAACATAAGTATCGCATGACAGACTATAAATAGAAGATCCCATCCTCAGGACAGAGAGAGACATCCAAGATGTAGGAAAAGGAAAGAACAGCCCCCTTGCCCTGCAACAATATTCAGAATTCAGAAGAGTATTTCAGAGTTAAAATCGCAAACCAGTAAAAATAGTTTTTACCGATTAAATTGTCAGAACTATCAAAGTAGCTTTGTATTACGAAGATGTCAACACAGATGTCCTTTATGATGGTGAATTTTATAATGAAAGTTAAACAAAAATTAGGTGCGGACTGTTGAAAAGGAAGAAGTGACATCTTTAATATATTCAAGAACTAACATAGCCTCAAGGATACCTGCAAATTCCAGCTCTACAGATTCATATCTGCCCACCATCAACAACTGAACCAGTCAATCAAGATGGACAGTCAGAAGTTCAAGAGGTCACGTCAGACCCCTAGTAAAAGCAAAGGGCAGAAAAAAGAACAAAGGGGAAGACAGAAAGCATAACCCCAACAACCACTAACAGATGAGCCCTGAATGAATGCAGCCCTTCCAGGCAAAAGAAAATTCTCCCATTGTGACTTGACATTTTGGATTGTTACGGCTGCAATCCCGTACACATCTATCTGGGAGTTAGTCCCACTGAACTCAGTGGGGCTCCCTTCTGTGGAGGCAGGCATAAGACTGCACTGTGAAGGACCCATTAAAGCACAGAACCCTTTCCCTTTTCTGAGCTGACACCAGACCCATCCCAGCGATGGCTCTGATTGGATACCAGGCATGACACAGAGAGCTGGTTCGGGCTGTTTGCGGCAGCCACGGGGAAGCCACTCCCGTGAGCTGCAGTGCCACTTGAGCAACGCAATCTGGACTCACTGGACCGGCACCGTGCCATCCTGACCGACTCCCAGCACAGCGGGATGGATCTGCATGATAAGCAGCTCGCCCAGCTCACCACAACCATAGGGGGCCACCTTGCATCCTGAATACAGGGTCCTGAAATCTAATACCTCGCATAAATGTCAGTGGCCACTATTAATTCCTAAAGCTAATACCCTGATTAGCTCAGGAGGGTTCACAGGAGGAAACAGAAATTAGCCCCGAGACAGGCTGGAAATCATTGTTCTGTACTGTTATTTATTTCATTTCTATACCGCCCCATAGCCAAAGCTCTCTTGTTGGCTTAGACCAATCCATCACCCTGTTCTAATCAGCTCTTCCCAGCACAAATAATTCTTCAAACTCAAAGCAAAGGAGTATCAGCTGCTCAACAATACAGCGTTACATAGCAAAGGTTTCCAAATACTATTAACTGAGGATCAGGCAATGACATTGTTGTAAGCTGCCCCGAGGCTTTGGCGAATGGGGCGGCATAAAAATGTTTTAATTAATTAATTAATTAATTAATTAATTAATTAATTAATAAATAAAGTGAAGTACAACCAGAACAGACCAAAAAAAAAAAAAAAACCCACAACCCCACAGCTTCTTTGCTCAACATCCAATAAGCTTAGAAACATCAACACCACAAAATGGTGCAATGGTCAGCTCACTGGCCTATCTAGCCCAGGGGTGTCGACACAAACTGGCAGGCGTTCTCCAGGGTTTCAAGGCGCTTCCCAGCCCTCCGCGGAGATGCTACAAATTGAGCCTGCGACCTTCTGCATGCCAAGGTGCTTCTCCACTGCTACAACCTTAGCCAAACTTATGAAGGTACTCAGTACCGAATCTGAATCATGGAGGAGGATCTACCTAGTCTTCAAATGGAACCTCCATGCACAGGAGAAATATATCTGGATATCAGGTGATGGGGTCAAAACAGAAAGGGCTTTTGCCTTCATGCCCTGTAGTTTTTTGGCTCCTGCAAGAAACAAAGTTGTAATCCTTTGACCTAGCCAAGCAAGACTCTTTTTAGGTTTTCTATATTCTATCTTCAGGGAAACACAGAAGCATCAGCTTTTCTATCAACAAATCCCTTGGTGTAGCTTAGGACACAGCACCCTAAAACATATTCCACAACCAGTTCATAAGAAGGGCAGGCAATTGGCTGAGTCTTCTAGAGAACTCTTCTTGTCCAGAAATGAACACATATTCTAAATGCACCAGAAACGTCTCTACAACAGTGCACTGCAGAAGATGAGGAGTGGTGGGCAGGCAGTTCTTCAAAAAAGCTTGTCAGCTGTTCTTCAACAAGTAGGAAGCTCATCAACGAAACCCAGGCAGGGTTCCACAAACACCACTTGGAAATGGCTGTTCTACAACATGAGAAAAGGTACAGGGAATTGCTTGGCCATCCAAATACACACCTGTTTGCCAGTAAAACCTTGGCAAATGACCTTTGTGTCCTTCGTGATGTAAAGGTTCTTCCGTGTGGCTGAATACGAACAATGCCGTACCCCATTTTTCTGCACTAGAAAATAAAAATGAAGAAAACAATGAGACATTGAACATTTCTACAGATATCTCTGGTAAATTAGGCTGCCTTTTTTACCAAATACAGATGGTTTCCTAAGTTAACCTTAATTACTATTAAAACCATTTTTTAAAAGAGTTCATTGCACCTTTAAGATTAACAGGAAAAGAAACAGATTGACATTGTAGGAGTTTTCATAGATTATTATCTTCTTGAGAAAGGAGAAATCACTGATGGGGATCTTTGCATGTCGTCCTGAACCTGTACTATGAACTGCAGATCAGAATGTTCGGAGTGCACAATTGCAAGGGCTCCACTTCACTCTCAAGACACCAACAAAGAAGCACACAGTTTCACCCAACGGGAGTCACGCACAGCTCTCCAGTGAGGGTGGAAATTCTTTGGCATCCTCCCAATTAAAACTGACTTAAGAATTGCAGTTCTGGTGCTGCTTAGAGTGCCCTAAAAAACCAGAACAAGCTGCAGCCTTGTGCTCCAATTTAGATTTGCTGGGGCGGGGTCAGACTCAACCTTGAAATTGCATAGTTGCAAAGGTGAACCCTGCCCCACATTCCAGCTCCAAGCTAGAAAGGAGAAACAGCATCCGCTGCGATGTGGCATTTTCAGGGTACTTGGAGATCCTTGTCAGAACAGCATTATTCTAAGAATGACCCCCTCCCCACCCCACTTCATATGGCCAATAATAGCTTTGAGAATTTTGTGTTTGGTGTTGTTCTTGTTTTTAAACAAGAGTGCACCCTTTTTAAACAAGGGTGCACTTCAAGTAGCACCACGGGTGTTCAAGGATAGGCTGGACGTGCACATGGTGGGCATGTCGTGGTGCCGGAGGTCAGACTAGATGGCCCGGGAGACCCCTTCTGACTTGCTCTGTTTCTATGTTTCTAAGAGTTAAATTCAGAAAGAGAAATTTGCAGCAGCAGCATGTGTGGTTTGGGAATTCAAATCTGCCACTAGGAGCACAACACAACAAATGCAACATCTCACCCAGTAAAGCTGAACATTCTGCAGAAGCAGGTAGAAGTATCTGTTCGTGCACATTTCAAGCTAAGTTTCCCAAGCAGAAGTAGCGTGTGTAAAGCTGGGGAAAAGTATTTGCTTTGAAGAATGGGCCACCCCTTCCACGAACAAGATATTCTTCAGTGTTTTGGCATGCTGCTTTCCCAGTTGCAAACCACTCATGTGAACCCAATAAACAAGAAGGTAAAAAAGGCTTTGCTGGATCAGATCAAAGACCCATCCAGTCTAGTGTTCGGCTCACACGGAGGCTGGTCATGGGAAACACAAGCAGGGCCTGAGCACCCTTTTGCCCATGTTCCTCAGCAACTCATGTGCCTAGGCATGTTGCCTCTGGTGCCAGAGGTAGAAAAAGGATTACCAGCCGCTGACGGTCTTCTCCTCCATGAATCTGTCCATTTCTCTTTTAATTGGGGGCCATCACTACTTCGTGTGGAAGTGAATTCTGTAGTTAAAATGCTCTTTCCAGTTCCTGTGTTTGTGTGTACATGTGTGTGGATGGAGGAGGGGGGATTCCTAAAACTTTGTTCCTCTAGATTCTCAATTTGGAAAAGGCAGGTAGGAAGGCATGATTCTTCTACGGTAGCCCACAAGAAAAGGAGTCCCAGCTTTGTTAGTTTTTAAACAGTACATTCCCAGTAGTCATTCTTCAGAATAGTTCCTAACACCAAGTGAAATGAAAAATGTGGAACCAAGAGGCAAGGGAAAAACCCCCACATTCATTGTTATTCAGTGCTCATAACTCTCTAAGTACACTCAATCAAGCTTTTGTTTTTAGAAGAAAATCCAACTGCAGAACAGATTTACTTCAACTGAATAATGAGTTGATGAGAATTAACAGTGGCTTGGTCTTTACCAAGTTCATAAGTATCAAGCAATTAGTGCTATTAGTCACAGAAAGCTACGAGCCAGGCTGACAGCCCATGATACTCTTCTCCAATCGGAACCTTACCAAATACATGTTAGGGTCCACCTGCCTGGAACAAAACTGGGCTGGAAGCTATTACCCTCATGCCGCAACTTCCTGCTTCTTGTTCAAGTGACAGACAAACCCAGTCAATGCAACCTCAGCTGTCATGGAAGGCACAAGAATTAAGGAAGATTTACAGCAAAACCATTCCCCTGGCTATTTCTCTAGTTCTGCAGAAACCATTCCAGCTTCCTACTTTTGGGTGTGCAGGGGTCAGTCCCCCGTGTGTATTTAGCCTGCACTGTTGGGAGTGAGAAAGCTGACTACTTTGGCAAGCCCAGTTAATGGCATATGGCTGCCCTAATCCTCAGTAAGCTACTCAAAAGAATTCCTGTGAAAACTCAACTAGTTCTGTGTTACAATATACCTTTACTGTGGGAAGGAAAACAAACTGGGCATGTTTAGCCTTGAGAAGAGGAGAGAAGGAACGATAACACTTGAAAGGCTGTCACACAGAGGAAGGCCAGAATCTTTTTTCTCAATCATCCTAGAGCACAGGACACAGAATAATGAGTGCCAGTTATAGGAAGTCACATTCCAGCTAGATATGAGGAAACATTTCCTGACTGTTACAGCAGCACAACAATGGAAGCCATGGTCTAGGGAGGTGGGGGGCTCTCCCACACTGGAGGCATGCAAGATGCAACTAGACGGCCATCTGCTAGGAATGCCTGAACTTGCAGTCCTGCATTGAGCAGGGGTTGAACATAGGGTTGTGACTGAAAAAAGCTGTTATACCTAAGCACAAGCAGTACCTATAACGAACCAACAGAGAATTGTCAGGAAAAGAATTTATATAAATCTGACAACAACATAAAGGTATATAAATATACGGCAAGACCACATTTGCAATACTTTGCACAGTTTTGGACTCCACTTCTAAAAAGCCACTGTTGAGATAGAAAAGGTACAGAAAACAGCTATCAGAATGATCAAGAAGATGGCAGCTCCCCTGTGAGGAAAGGTTACAACAGCTGGGATTGTTAAGTTAGAAGATGTGAGGATAGAGCAGTTCAAAATTATGTATGGCATGAATAACACAGGTAGGGAGACATTTTCCCCCATTTCTCATAATAATGAAAACTGGTGAGGTCATCCCACAAAGCTCAAGAGTAGGAGATTCAAGAAAGATAAAAAAGTACTTCTTCATCCATATCATAATTTAATTATGGAATTCACTTCCACAAGCTGTGAGTGATGGCCACAGACACGGACAGGTTTAAAAAGTTATTAAACACATTCACGGGGACTGAAAATTCGTGCTAGTCCTGATGAGCTATACTGTACCTCTCCTAACAAAAGCATTATGGGAAGCCCACCAGTAGAACAAGTGCAAAGCAGGCTCCCAGAGAAATGCCTGGAACATGTTATACCACTCTCCTATTCATGGGCTTCCCATGGGCAACTGGCTGGCCTCAGTGGGCAGGCAAAGGGCTGGGACTGACCAAATGAATGCTAAAGTGCAGGATTTCAGCCTCCCTGTATGCAAGGCAAAGTCAGTCCTAAGGTGGGGTTACCTGCAGGCTCTGCAGGCAGTATCACTCTGCAAAGCTGCAAGGATCCTGACTGTGCTTCCCTGGGACACTGTCACTCCTTGACCATTCCTGGACTACATGCCCCATCCTTCCTGACCATTACACACACGCTAGCTGCATAAGATGCAAGCTGCAACTCAGTGCAAAAAGCACCTTCTCTGCATGCAGCTTTGATCCCTGGCATCTCCAGTAGGGTTAGGAAAAAACCCTGCCTGAAACCCCGAAGAGCTGCTGCCACTCAGAGCAAACGACGCTGGGGTGGGCGGCCCAAGGGCCTGACTCCAGACCGGGCAGCTTCCAGTCTTCCTGAGAGAGAGAGTGCAACCACAAGCAGAAACACGCTTCGCAGCAATGCGTTCCGTGAATCTTCTAAAATCTTCACCACAAGACCCCGTGCAACTTTATCTTCGCTTATTTGTTGTTGCTTTTTCTTTTTCGACTCAATGCGTGCTTAGATTTTGTCTCGCAGCCCGTAATAAAAGGTAACTTAGCGAGCAAGCAGAGGACCGCGGGGACAGCCCCACCCGCGATTTAAGGGGGCTGGCCCGCCGCCAGCCCCGTGGGAACCCCGCCCCGCCCCAGGTGACAGCCCGAGCACTCTGGGGAAAGGCAGGAGCCCGCGGAGGGCATCCCACGCCCCCGGCCCCTCCTTCGCCCGCAAACCGGGGGCCGCACAGCCCACCCACGTGGCCTGCAGCGAAGGCGGGGAGGCACAAGGGGACCTCGGCCCCGACCTTTTGCCGCGGCTCGCACGGAGAGGCTGTCAGGGCAAGGGGGCTGCGGCGTCGGGCCCCGATCCCGCCCCGAGACGTGGGGGGGGGCTTTCCTCCCCCAGCCGTTGCGGGAAGGGGCAGAAGTTGGAAAGGGGGCTCGGCGTCACGTGACGGGGGCGGGGGCGGCTCTCCTCTCCCCACACCGCGCGGGCCAGCGCGGTACTCACGGAGCAGGAGGAGGCGGCCCAGGCCTCGGACGCCGCTGCCACAGCACGACATCGCCGCCGTCCCCTCCCGGCGGCCAATGACAAGGGGGCCTCGCGGGCTGGCAGACGCCCGCCCCTTCCGGCCGCGCAAACGCGCCGCGCGCGCCCGTGCAGCGCCTGCGTGGAAAGATCCCGGAGCGCCTCGGCCGCGCCGGAGCTCACGGCGGCCAGGCCGGAGCACGAAGTGGGCTCATCCCTCGCACGCGGCTCCGCGCCCGCGAGACCGCTCCGGAACTGGCGGAGAGAGAAGCCGCACGGACAGGCACCTCGCCGGGCAGCCCGGTGGGCGAGGCCGCGCCGCGGCCGCAAGGGGTTCTGGGCGTTGTAGTCCGCGCGCCGGTTCGGGGCTGGGAGCGCTTGGCTGGCTGTCCGGCGGCGGGACTTCGCCCTCCTCGCGTGCGCGGTGCCGCTCCCGGACGAGCCCTTCTCAAGGCGCGGGTTTCTCGCAGGCCACCTGGCAGGGCTGCTCCGGGACCCTGGCCGTGCTTACCTGGGAGTAGGCCCTATGCAACCCGGAGGGCTTGCTTCTGAGTAGACCCGCCTAGGACTGCACACCCCGGGGCGTCCCTCGGCGCAGACCGGCAGGAGGGCTGACGCGGAAGGAGAGGGCAGCGCTGGGGCGCCGGTCACAAGGAAAGCCTTCATCCCCGCTTTTAAAAAGCAGGGTGCAGCCGCATGCATGGTGGAGCGAAAAGAAGCCCTGCGACTCCCACCCAGGGGCATGCTGGGAATTGCAGGGCTTCTGTTTCTGCCTCAGCATGCATAATTGCAACCATAATTGCATATTTGGATTGCACCCAAATAAACACTCGGCTCCAAACTGGCAACCCCAAGCTCAAGATCTGTCTTCCATTATCCTGCATTTGAAGCAGGCTTTCCCAACTTGTTGCCTTCCGGATGGGCTGAGTGGCAGCTCCCAGAATACTGGCTGGGGGATTCTGGGAGTTGTTGCCCTGTGCATTGACAAGCATTGGGCTGAAGAGCAGTCTTATGTGTGTGTTGGGCCAGAAAAAAGGCCAACCACCAAGCTTTCCCCAGCTGGTAATGCTGGGAATGCCTGGGCTTTTTTTTTTTTAAATGCCTATATGCAAATAAGATGGTACCTTTAAATCTGAAAAAAAGGGGAAAGCAAGGAATCCCTTAATCCCCTGCTCAAATGGTCACAACTTCTTGTACCAGGGAATGAATGATGCCTTATGGACAAATCCTTGTGTCGTCAGTTCTAAATCTGCTACCAATCTTTCATCAGGTAGGACTGAATTGCACCATGGCAACTGAGGACACACCTTCCTTATCAATCAACCCTAACTTAGATGGTTTTTTCTGCATGGGTCAATTATTGTGCTCTTAAGCACTGTATCTACTTTTGGGTTTAACGCAGAATTAGGTGACTGAGCTCAGCTTTCCCTCGACGCTAACTTCGGTTTCAGCCCTTGCCAAAGTTTTATTCTCTGGCCAAGCGTCTCCTAACTTATGGTTCTGGTTACTTCTGTTGCAGCTTTTTGTATTTGGTGATTTAATTTACTACACTACTTTGTGCTCGGTTTATAAATTCTCTAATAAAGAATATATATTTGTGCGTCTGTGCCTGTATGAGAGGGAGGGAGAAACTGCACAGCATTGCTGTCTCATACTCAGCTCCGGTCTGCAGCATGGGATTTGTTTTCTTCCACCCCTTTTCTTTAACCACTAGCACCATCACACACAGGGTTACCATTTTAGATGGCAGAATCACCTCTGCTTTGCAAGTCATATTTTGCTCCTCCTTGGATATATATATATATACACTCTCAGGCAGAAACTGCCCATTCCCTGAAGTCACTCAAGCTGTAAAACATTAAACATCAGCTCACTCCCAAATTGCTTCTGGGCTTTGGTAAACATTCTCTTCAAAGGCAATAAACTCGGCAGACTGAGAAGGAAATTGAAGGCCTTGAAGCAGACTTTGCTCCAATTCAATGGCTGTCTGTTTTCACCTAGTAGTTGAACAACCAGCATGCCAAGAAGGGTCTTGGAGAGTGGAGGTGTAAGACTCCTATCCCATAAACCACAAATTAAAACAAAAACATGTCCAGATAACAAACTAATAGGACATGGAGAAGAATAAAGCTTTCCCCTTGGTATGTATGCATGCATGCATTTATTGATCTAATTATGAAAGATCAATCAGGCTACAAGTGAGCCAGGACTGGCTTACAAAAAAGAAAAAAAGATGAAATCAAAAAAAAATCTTACAAAACAAAGCAACATCAAGCAAAAGACAATTTAAAATTCACTTCTGGCATGTTACAGTCTGCTCAGATAGATTTGTCAGATGCTGAGGAGGAGGGGCAGCAGGGTAGACGATTTTGCTGTTCCAAGGTTACCCAGTGAAGATAGACAGGATGTAAGAACCAGCCTGCCTTGGAAACCGAGGGATGTTTGGGGGCGAAGTGGGAGACCTCTGTGACCCTGGAGGGACACAAAGCAAGGGACCAGTTCTGAAGACTCTGTTGCCTAGAGCTCAAGCAGCCGAGCAAGGTCTTCCTGAAAGGAAGGGAAGGAGGAGGCGATTCAATTTGGGTTCAGTTCTTACATGGGCAGATGGTTCTCCCACATCTCGAAGAGAACATTACCTTGGTGTATGCTGCTTTGCAAGCTGTTGTTGGGAAAATTCAGATTAAATCCTGGCAGAAAGGATTGCTTATATGTGCCTTTGTGTTATCAGCACCCCTTTCTCAGGAAGCACCAAAATTCCAGGACAGGTTAAGGTTTGGCATTTGCTGTTAGTTTAAGAAGTGGGAACTGGTAGCTTGCCTAGAGGCTGCCAGGGCTATTGTTTTGCTGATCAATAAGAACTGATAAGGCTGCCAGGTGGACAGCATTGCAGTCATCCTCATTTGCATGCCAAGACCCACAGTAATCCCTGTGCCCCAGTGATCCTTGTGTTACTATCCTGCAATCAGATGCCATTGTATTGAGCCCCTCTGCAGACCTCTCACCTTCTGACTATGTTCCCCGCATTTCATCATCAACTGCCCAGCTGCTGAGCCCATGTGACTCAGAATCTATAAAACACTCTGTGTATGTTCTAAAAGCTCGCAGTTGGGGCTGGAGACCACTACCTGGTAGCATGCTGTTGTAAGTAACTGCAGGGGTCCTGCCTGTTCTATTAAAAAATTCCGGAGGCTCAAGAAAATTCAGCCTTCCCTATGAACCTGTTTGTTTGTTCGTTTTTGTTCTCACTATTGATACCGAGTCCCGATCACTGTCAAGCTCCAATAAAGGACTGTGCTTCTAGGATCTTGTCTGAGTCTGCTGGAAGGAAAAGGGGGGGGGGGGGGGTAGACCTGCTCATGACAGCCAGCACTTTGTCTTGTGGAGGTGCAGTCCAGAGTTTAACAATGCTCTCTATGAAGAAGTGCATCTTTTGACTTGCCCTCAGTCTCCCATCAATCAGCAACATGGGATGACCCGGTTGGGTTCTAGTATTATGACAGAGGAAGAAAAATGGCTCTCTGTCCATTTTCTCCACACCCTGCATGAGCTGATAGCATGTGATCCAGGCAAGATGCAAGAGTCTTGACTGGCACATCCCCAAACAGGTTGTGGTGAGCGCCTTGGGACCAAAAGATGCTACACACACTTCCAATTTCTCCTTCCTGCCATTTCCACAGTATGGAGCTGTCAGTGAGATGAAGGTGCCAGGAAGCCTCCAGCCCTTGCCAGAAGGAGCAAAGGAACAACACGTTCTTGAAGCCTTGCTCACTTAGCAACCGCCAACCGTGTCAGGACTTCCAGTCCCTCCTGATTTCATCACTGGGAGCACCTCTGGGCCTGACGGCCTTTCAGACCCATGCCAAAGCCCGGAGCCATTCACCTGGATGCTCAAATGTGCCTGCCAAAACGGCCCTCCGATTATGGACCCAGTAACCTGAGCATAAATCAATTCCTGATGCAGTGCCACTGGCATTGGGTTGGGCTACAGGCATGTTAATGCAGCGTTCTTTGAGAGGAAATAATCTGGAGAGATTTCTAAGATAGATGCACACACAGATCAAAGATCAGTTTCATACTAGTCCAGCTGGCATGCCCTTTTCTCCCTCCCCTTTCTCCCAGAATCATGGCATTTATTTGAGGAGGGTGTTACTCCTGTTCTTTTGGAGACCCCTAGCATTCTTCATAGGACAATAATCCCCAGAGTTCACAGGGAGGAAAATAATCCCATTTTAAACGGTGGACCTTTAGAAGTCCTTTGCCTCCGATTCGCTACCTGGAGAACGATTGCCTGGCAACTGTGACACATGCATTGGTAACTTCCCGATTAGACTTCTGTAATGTGCTCTATGTGAGGCTGCCCTTGAAGACGGTCCGGATACTTCAATTGGTGCAAAACAGAGCTGTCAGGTTGCTGATGGGGGCTTGGCGTTGTTCTCACATAACCTCAGTCCTCCGTCAGCTTCACTGGCTTCCCCTTGAAATCTGGGCCCAATTCAAGGTGTTGGTTATCACCTATAAAGCCCTTAACGGCTTGGGACTTGGTTCTCTAATGGGGCTCTTGTGTCCATATATGCCCTCCCGCCCCCTGAGTTCGGTGGCAGAGGCCCTTCTCCAAGAGCCCTCTGTGAAAGATATTAGGAGGGTGAATACCTGGAGGAGGGCCTTCTCTCTGGTGGCACCCCATTTATGGAATGCTCTCCCCAGAGAGGTCCGCCTGACGCCGTCGTTATTTGTTTTTCGGCGCCTGGCCAAGACCTTTTTATTTAAACAATATTTTAACTGTTTATCGTTGTTATTATTTATTTATTATACACCTGCCAAGATGTATCCAGGTTTTTAAATTTTATTCAATATTTGTTTATTTGCTTTGTAAGCCACCCCAAGGCTTGTTGCAAGGGGGGCGGCATAAAAATGCTATAAATAAATAAATAAATAAATAAATAAATAAATAAATAAATAAATCATTCTTCCAAGATCCACTAGATGTCACTAGCCTTTCATCTCTGGAAGACCCAACTCCACTTTGAAGCTGCCATCAATGGCAGCCATTCACTTACTTTGCCCTTCCAGCTAGCAACAGA